GCTTGCCAAAGATACATAAAGAAGATACACCTCTTCGTCCCATTGTCTCTACTATCAACTCCCCCACTTACAAACTGGCTCGTTTTTTGTCCGAAATCCTACGGCCTTTCACTGGAAAAACCACCTCTGCAGTACTAAACTCTACTGACCTGGTATCGACAATCAAGGGGATTGCCCTGTCCCCAGACGACCTGCTTGTCAGTTTTGATGTGGTTTCCTTGTTCACCAAGGTGCCTGTGCCTGACACCATCGCAATCATTGAAGACTTGGTTCATCAAGGACTGAATGCTGGGGTACCCCCCCTGGTGAGACACTGCTTAACCAATACATACTTCACCTGGAATGGAACCTTCTACAAGCAAATTGAGGGCACCCCAATGGGCTCCCCCCTATCTCCGGTTGTAGCCAACATCTTCATGGAGAAATTTGAGACGGACGCCATCCAGACTGCCACTCTACGCCCGACCTTATGGAAGAGGTACGTAGACGACACTTTTGTCATCTGGCCACATGGCCGGCCTGCTCTAGACCAATTTCTCGACCACATCAATTCCATACACCCAGCCATCAGATTCACCATGGAAGTCGAAAATGATGGCAAGCTACCCTTTTTGGATGTCCTAATCAAAAGGAGACCTGATGGTTCAATGAGCCACTCTGTCTACAGGAAAGCCACCCACACGGATGCTTATCTAAAACCGGATTCCCACCACCATCCATCCCAGAAGAATTCCCTCATCAAGACTCTATATCATAGAGCCCAATGCATCTCCGACCATGAACACATTTCCAGTGAACTCAAACACGTACGCCAAGCTCTTAAGGCTAATGGTTACTCCGACTACACAATCCGCAAAGCCATCACTCCAACCATCAAGAAGGATCCTGTTGAGGAGCCTTTCAAGACCATCACCTTACCCTACATTGCTGGGGTCACAAAAAAGATCTCCAAAATCCTGATTAAACACAAGATCCAGGTCCGATTCAACACAGTACATAAAATCCGTGATCTGGTCCCGTCTGTAAAAGATGTGGTTCCAGACATACAGTACCCTGGCGTCTACAAACTAAGTTGCCTCTGTGGTAGCAGTTACATTGGAGAAACCAAACGACATGTCTCGGACCGCATCCGTGAACATAAGGCAGACCTGAAACACGGTAGGACAAACACCTCAGCCGTGGCAGATCACTGTTACAATTCAGTGGGCTCACATGACATTGACTTCTCCAAGACAGAGGTTCTCTGCAAGCCATCTGGCTATCATGAGAGATTCGTTCATGAGGCGATCCACATATACAAACACAGAGACAATTTCAACCGAGAAGATGGATTCTGGCTTAGCAATCATTGGAAGGACGTAATAAACCATTTCGGATCTTAACTGATTGTGTTCACGTTAACGGTGACTTTCAGACCGCGTTCCACTCACTGGCATGGTGCAGTGTGCAGAGTAATGTATGGTGTCGTAATTGTACAGTAAACATATAGCAGTATGATACACATTAGGGTGGGTAGAATAATACATAGTGTTATATTAAAATGGATAAGGCAGCAACTGCAGCAGCAGCAGCAAGTGCAGCAGCAGCAGCAAGTGCAGCAGCAGCAGCAAGTGCAGCAGCAGCAGCAAGTGCAGCAGCAGCAGCAAGTGCAGCAGCAGCAGCAACTGCAGCAGCAGCAGCAACTGCAGCAGCAGCAGAAACTGCTGCAGCAGCAGTAACTGCAGCTCCCTTTGATGCTGTTAATCCTGCATAATGCACATGCATATGCAGTACTAATTACATTCCTGCATTTCCCATAAATATGCTAAATTCCTGTTGATATGCAAATTCCTTTGTCAATGCGCCCAGCTTATATATATGCTCTAAGCCCGTGTGCTGTTTCATTCAGACTCTGTCGCCTCGACGGACCTGGTTTTCACCTGAGGACGGCTGCTTGCGTTGTGGCCGAAACGTCGTGAGAATTGTTTTATTATGTTTTATTTTTATTATTTTATTATTTTATTATGTTTTAATTTTATTATTTTATTATTTCCATTCTACGTGACTTTACCGAAAGAACCAAGAAGATGAATCCCTGCAGTCACGAAAGCTTTAAATCGAAAAATAGTAATAGGTTTTTACCCTTTCAACTGGTACAAAAACTGACACCTTTATACAAGGCATCATGTTTGCAATAACCACAACACAAGCAGTTAAAATGCAAACAAAAATAAACAACTCTGATAATGATAATGATATGCACTGTCCTTGAAGTTGATTGGTCCACACCCGAAACAGCTTTTCTTAGAGCCTAGTCTCCATTGGTGTTGGACCAGATGACATTATCAGAGTTGTTTCTTTTTGTTTGCATTTTGACTGCTTGTGTTGTGGTTATTGCAAACATGATGCCTTGTATAAAGGTGTTAAACAATGACATCTGCATTGAAAGTTGAACAATAGGAACCGGATTCAATGTTAAACAATGAGATCTGGTTCTTTCGCTAAAGTCACGTAGGTATAAAATAAATTGAATTAAATCACGACGTTTCGGGCGCAACACAAGCGTCCGTCATCAGGTGGGACAACCACGCGAGAAACAATTGCTGAAGTGGGCAAAAGGGCTGCTGTGACAAGAGGCTGTATAGGTCAGAGGAGCCAGGGAGGAAAGATAGAGAGGGGGGTGTAGGGTAGAGGTCGCAACCGGGTACCCGATACCCGTACCCTACCCGATACCCGGCTACCCGTACCCGGCCGGGTACGGGTACGGGTAGCCGTTTGCGACCCTGGTGCGGCCGGGTACGGGTACGGGTAGGCCGTGAGTCACCGGAGAGTAACCGTTAGTCACTCATTTCGGGTAGGGTACGGGTACGGGTAGGGAACGGGTACCCGTACCTGGCCGGGTACGGGTACGGGTACCCATTTTCGACCCTGGTGCGGCCGGGTATGGGTACGGGTAAGGAATCAAAACCCGTTTGCGACCTCTGGTGTAGGGTAGGGGGAGTGGAGTGCTGCAAGCTCGAGGGATTACAGGGCGGGCAAGGCACGATCACGACAAAATGCCGGGGGGAGGGGAGAAGTGAGCGGGGCTGGGAGTGGGAGGCTGAAGAAACTGGAGATGCGGATATGAAGGCAACGCCATAAAGCAGCTAAGGTTTATTAGATTTGAAGCTTTCGTGACTGCAAGGATTCATATTCTTAGATTTTTTTTGGTAAAGTCACGTAGGTAAAGAATAAAATAAAAGTAAAAAAATAATAATAAAAAAATATTGAAAAAATATATTTTACTTTTATTAATTTTAATTTTTTACCTACGTGACTTTACCGAAAAAAACCTAAGAATATAGTTAAGGTTTTCCCTGGTTAATAACATCCTTCCAATGATTGCTCAATTTGTATCCATCCTCTCGGTTGAAGTTTTATCTATGTTTATATATCTGGATGGCTTCATGAACAAACCTTTTATAGTAGCCCGAAGGTTTGCAGAGTACCTTGGTCTTGGAAAAAAACAATATCATGAGAGCCCTCAGCGTGAAAGCAATGGTCAGCCAGGGCGGAGGTATTAGTTCTGCCCTGTTTCAGATCTGACTTGTGCTCGCGAACACGGTCCGAGATATGTCGTTTCGTTTCCCCAATATAACACCCACATGTGCAACTTATCTTCTTGGTTCTGTCGGTAAAGTCACGTAGAAGGGATAGAATAAAATAATAAAAATAAAATATAATAAAATACAATTCTCACGACGTTTTGGCCACAACGCAAGCAGCCGTCCTCAGGTGAAGAACAGGGCCGAAACGTCGTGAGAATTGTATTTTATTATGTTTAATTTTTATTACTTTATTATTTCCCTTCTACGTGACTTTACCGAAAGAACCAAGAAGATGAATCCCTGCAGTCACGAAAGCTTTAAATCGAAAAATCTGCAACTTAGTTTGTAGACTCCAGGATATTGCATGTCAGGAATGACATCCTTCACTGATGGGATTAGATCATGGATTTTGTGTACTGTACTGAATCGGACCTGGATCTTGATGGTTTTGATCGGCGTCTCAGGGGGTTGTTTCTCCCTGGTTGGAGACACAGCTTTGCGAATAATATGGTCCGAGTACCCATTCATCTTGAGGGCCTGTTGTGCATGTTCCAGTTCACTGGTTAGGTGGTGTTGGTCAGAAATGCAGTGGGCCCTATGGTGAAGTGTTTTGATGAGGGAATTCTTCTGTGTCGGATGGTGGTGGGAATCAGGTTTCCAATAGGAATCTGTGTGGGTGGCTTTCCAGTAGACAGAGTGTCCCAACGAGCCATCAGGTCTCTTCTCAAACATAACATCCAGGAATGGTAGCTTACCCCCTCCCATGGGGGGTTGTGGGGGTGGGGTCAGACATTTGTGACGATGTGTGACGAGGGGTGGGGGGTGAGAAATGTAACGTCACATCAAAATGCGCAATTTTAAATAAATATAGAATTGTTATAACAACACTAATTGTTATAACAACACTCCTACAACATCAGAGTGCGGCGCCACATTGAATACGCACTACAATGACAGTTTAAAGCGATTTGAAGCATGTTTTATTTTCAAAGTGGAAATATGGTTTTGGGGGTGGGGCAGAGCTTTGTGACGTCATATTTGAAGGGGGGGGGTCTGACTTGTTGTGACGCCGTGTGACGAGGGAGGGGGGTAAAAAATTGTCCAAAATCGCGTGACGTCATTTATGGACGGCCACGTAGCGGGTTAGCGCGTTGCACTACGAACCCGGCAAACCCGAGTTCGATTCCCGCTCACGGCCAACACCAGTGACGATTATTATCTGAACCGGTCCTGGGCATCCCCCAGGTCGACTCAGCCTCAGATGAGCACCTGGTGCGGTGTGTCATAAACATCGCCACTGGGGAGACAAAGGCTGCCGGGCGTGGTGCTGGCTAAACGGGGGATCTTTGTCTTGTTGGTAGTTGGTGGTGGTAATAGTGAATGCTATATAATGGTTAAACAAAGTGCGGAATGAATGAGAAGTGGGGAAGTTGATAAAACGACCACCCTTTATTTTCCCACTGGATAAGTGATCCCACAATTGTACAAACACACACACAAACGTAAACACAGCGCTCGTCGTTATCATCTCACGGCGAAGTAACGCGAGTCAATGAATCTACAAAACAATTCACATTGTCAGTGGAGCGACCTCGAGTGACTGGGCGATGGAGGTGGGTGGCGTCACAAAAAATCCTCGAGGTCTTTGCATTTGTAATGTGAGGTTATATCTGGGTCGTTGACGGATTACAACTCGTCACGATGATTGGCTCTGTCAGTGTTTGTAGAGGATTGGTTCTGCTGGCTTTGGCCACAGCCAATGGGGAGACGAGTCAGGGGCGTGGTCCCGGGAGCCTACGATGGAGTCTGGAATATTCCATAGAGGCTAACCAGGATTGGTGGAAACGTACCATGTGACCCGGGTATTAAATAGGGGTGGAGACGAACAACACGTGGTCAGAACTGGAACGAACGGAGGAGGAGGCCACGTGAGAGCGGGGGTCCAAGTTGCCACGTGGCTACACACGTCTCTCTCTCTATCCCTCTCACGCTGTCTGTCAGCAGCGTGAAAGAAGTGCTGTAATGAAAAGCGAATAAAGACCGGATTCCAGAAGTCGCCTCAATGACCTTTATTACACATTGGCCGGGGGAGCGGTGGCGCAGTGGTGAGCGCGACTCGGGAGGTCGATTCACACTCACGGCCGACTTCAGTGGCGAAGTGGTAATCCGAACCGGTCCTCCGAAGACAAAGATCCCCCCACACCCCCGGTGTAGCCTCAAATTTGAAGCATGAAACTGGTCAACACACTTTTTCTGGCATAAGGTATTCCAACGGGTTTAAGGTAATTTTGGGGTGCCGATTCCAAATCTGGCATCGGTTTATGTCTATCACATCAGGTTTTTGAGATATCAAATGTTGCATTTTCAATAAAAACTGCAGAAGAAAAATATTAAATAAATGTGTATATCTGCATAAAATTCTATTATAAACACACTATCCTAAAAATACAGCACCGTATTTTAACACTAAAGCAGTCACTGACTCGCAACAGCTTGCAATCATAAGTGACAGAGTTAATTTCGGGTAAAATCAATGAAAATGAGGTATGCCGATAGCATAGAAATGAGATGTGATAGAGCAAATCTGAGATCAGATTTGGAATCAGCACCCTGAAATTAGTCTAAAACAGCTGCAAAAGTCCAGGCCAGAAAAAAATGATTTTTTTTTTGACCAGTATATTTAGTTATACTGCAGGAGGAGGAATCCGATGAGTTGTTGACCAGTGAAATAGACTGTGGGGCCAAGTGCTGTCAGCAAGCACCTCCGAAGGCAGGCACGGAACGCGAGCGGGTGGGTGGGCCAGCACCCTGCCCGACCGCCTTTGTCTCCCCAGGACCAGTTCAGGTAATCGCCGTCGGTGTTGGCCGTGAGCTGACATCGAACTCGGGTCGCCGGATTTGTATGGCGCAGCGCGCGAACAGCTACACTACCGCTCCCCCACGCTGGATGACCAGCATGGTGAAGTGTGGTCAACCAAGCCTCATGACTCACACGGCGTGGGGAGGGCGGAGGCCTTCATCCAGCAGTGGATGGCCAAAGGGTCTGTAATGTTTTTTTTAAATAACACATTTAAACTCAAATCTATTGGAATCTTAGATCAATAACAATCGATGCGAATCAATAACAATCGATGCGAATCAATAACAGTAGATGCAACTACTTATTGACATCTCCACGGTGTTATCACGATATGTGTGCCTTCACGATATGTGTGCCTTCACGATATGTGTGCCTTCACGATATGTGTGCCTTCACGATATGTGTGCCTTCACGATATGTGTGCCTTCCTTCCGTCAGTGGTGAGCGCCTTGCTTCCATTTAGCTGTCCGTGATTACTCCGTGGGCAATGTCACTCGATGGGCAATGTTAGTCTATGGGCAATGTAAGTCAATGGACAATGTTAGTCTATGGGCAATTTACATCTATGGGCAATGTTAGTCTATGGGCAATGTTAGTATATGGGCAATGTAAGTCAATGGACAATGTTAGTCTATGGGCAATTTACATCTATGGGCAATGTTAGTCTATGGGCAATGTTAGTATATGGGCAATTTACATCTATGGGCAATGTTAGTCTATGGGCAATGTTAGTCTGTGGGCAATGCTAGTCTATGGGCAATTTAAATCTATGGGCAATGTTAGTCTATGGGCAATGTTAGTCTGTGGGCAATGTTATTCTGTGGGCCATGTTAGTCTATGGGCAATGTTAGTCTATGGGCAATGTTAGTCTATGGGCAATGTTAGTCTATGAGCAATGTTAGTCTATGGGCAATGTTAGTCTATGGGCAATTTACATCTATGGGCAATGTTAGTCTATGGGCAATGTTAGTCTATGGGCAATGTTAGTCTATGGGCAATGTTAGTCTATGGGCAATGTTAGTCTATGGGCAATGTTAGTCTATGGGCAATAATAGTTCATGGGCAATGTTAGTCTGTGGGTAATTTACATCTATCGGCAATGTTAGTCTATGGGCAATGCTAGTCTGTGAGCAATGTTAGTCTATGGGCAATAATAGTTCATGGGCAATATTAATCTATGGGCAATTTACATCTATGGGCAATGTTAGTCTGTGGGCAATGTTAGTCTGTGGGCAATGTTAGTCTATGGGCAATGTTAGTCTGTGGGCAATGTTAGTCTATGGGCAATGTTAGTCTGTGGGCAATGTTAGTCTGTGGGCAATGTTAGTCTATGGGCAATGTTAGTCTATGGGCAATGTTAGTCTGTGGGCAATGTTAGTCTATGGATCGTGTTCGTCCGAGATAAGTAACAACAACAAACCCGCATCGAGTCTCTTACTCCTCCCCAGTTGCATCCGATCGTTCGATCCGCGTCTACGCCGAGACTTCATTTGCTGTCTTCCCCTCTGCTTCTATACTGTCCCCTATATACATTTACCAGCTAATACAGCATTTATATATATGTGTGTGTCCGCACGTTAGAATATTTTAAAAATAAAACTAATTCTCATTGCACGTTTCGCCGGCTAAAACACACACACGCGCGCGTGCCTATGTTTGTTTATCGCTCTCAACATTTTTTTTGCGTGCGACTAACCGGTTTAACCCGGTTCCCCCCCACCCCACCTATTGCGGTAACCGGTTATGCAACAAAAAACAACAACATACCACGCGCCTTCATGCGCATCGACTCAAAAAATCCCTTCGCAAATTTTTGCCCGTACACTTTTTTTCATCGACCAAAACGCCAAACGCCTCCGCCATTCGCCATCACGTGGTGGTGACGCGCGCCGCCCACGTGACCTGTGCCAGGCCTGGCCACGTGCACGCCGAGGCCACGCGAAGTGCCGTCGAACGCGCCACGCTTGCTGCCAGTAGGAGGAGGAGGGTCACGGGACCAACCCTGCAAGTGCCTTGGCGTTGATGGACTGAGAGCAAATGTTATCCATGATAGAGGTGTATTTTTTTTTGGGGCTAAATCGCGTACAGACAAATGCATACCCGTCAACCCGTACGGTTTAACCCCGTGTTGTTGTACAGGGAAAGGTAGTTTTTCAGGTCCATACGGAGAACAGCCGTTTCAATACCGGAAACAAGAAAATAATTGTGTCCATTTGTTTGTGTTTCTCTCTTGTGATGGGACTTTGTAGGATGAACTCTGAGATGTATAAGGGGCACGGGGTGACCAATACGGTCTCAATTGGTCTTTAATAAACTAGGGAACTAGTTTATTAAAGACCAATTGAGACCGTATGACAGGTAATGCCGCCAGGCCATTCTTTGTGAGATCTTCCTCTCCTTTTTTTAAAGGTCACACATCTTCCTTAAAGGTCCTGCCCTTATTTGTCATCGGTCCCCACCCCTTTCTTAAAATCCCCACCATTCTTAAAAGGTCCTCCACCTCTTTCTTCAAGGCCCCGCGGTCATTTCTGTCCGCGAATGATTCCAAGCGTTCCGTGGTGGCAATATAAATAATATCACTATCTCTTTCTAGATTTGAAGCTTTCGTGACTGCAAGGATTCATATTCTTAGGTTTTTTCGGTAAAGTCACGTAGGTAAAACATCAAAATTAATAAAAATAAAATAAAGATCACGACGTTTCGGAGGCAACACAAGTCTCCGTCATCAGGTGGGACCGTCACAGCCAGATCTGGCTTATTTAATTTAATTTTTATTAATTTTGATGTTTTACCTACGTGACTTTACCGAAAAAACCTAAGAATATAAATATCACTATCATAATTGTTTTTTTACCCTTCTATCTGGCAACAAAACTGACACCTTTTTTTTACAAGGAGTCATGTTTGCATAGACCACAATACCTGCAGTCATAATGCAAACAAAAAACATAACTCTGATAATGTATCCAATGGTGTAAATGCTTACCCCAATCTCTCATACTCTGATGGTGCATTGTCTTTGAGTTGTGCGCCTTTTGGCGTCATCTGGTCCAACACCATGTGAGACTAGGCTCTAAGAAAAGCTGTCTCGGGTGTGGACCAATCAACTTCAAGGACAGTGCATTACATTATCAGAGTTATGTTTTTCTTTTCATTATGACTGCAGGTATTGTGGTCTATGCAAACATGACTCCTTGTAAAAAAAAGGTGTCAGTTTTGTTACCAGATAAAAGGGTAAAAAAACAATTATCATATTTTTACTGGCAAATGAGGTTCCAATGGAATATCGCTATCGTCGTCGTGGAAATGGCTCCGTGAGACTAAGGCCGCTTGCTCGGGATTATTGGGGTTCGTAGTTAATGCCCGAGAGCCCAGAGGGCCCAGTCTAAGGCACGTGCGACGATTACCGACGGTTCAGTGCTAAGACACCTCAGGCCCATAAAATGCGAAGGGCACGCTTCGGCTGCAGAGGATGTCCGATGGAAATAGCTGCGACTTCGGAGAGCCAGGCTAAGGCACGTAAACTACAGCTACTAACTCTTAGGGCCGAGTGTTCGAGATTATAGATTCCATGCAGAGGGGCGACAGGACGAGGAAGGGGAATGGGCGATGGAGAAAAGGTGAGGATTTAAGAGAGGAATGGAAGGAGGTTAAGGAGGTGGATTGATAAAATGTACAGGGGAGTTGTTGAGTCTGTGGGCAGTGTTGAGTCGACGGTAAGTGTTGACTCTATGGGTAGCAGTGTTGAGTCTATGAGTAGCGTTGAGTCGACGGGAAGTGTTGACTCTATGGGTAGCAGTGCTGAGTCTATGAGTAGCGTTGAGTCTATGAGTAGTGTTGACTCTATGGGTAGCAGTGTTGAGTCTATGAGTAGCGTTGAGTCGACGGGAAGTGTTGACTCTATGGGTAGCAGTGTTGAGTCTATGGGTAAGTGTTGACTCTATGGGTAGCAGTGCTAAGTCTATGAGTAGCGTTGAGTCTATGAGTAAGTGTTGACTCTATGGGTAGCAGTGCTGAGTCTATGAGTAGCGTTGAGTCGACGGGAAGTGTTGACTCTATGGGGAGCAGTGTTGAGTCTATGAGTAAGTGTTGACTCTATGGGTAGCAGTGTTGAGTCTATGAGTAGTGTTGAGTCGATGGGTAAGTGTTGACTCTATGGGGAGCAGTGCTGAGTCTATGTACAGGGGAAGTTGATTCCCGTGGAAGCGTACATATTACAGAATTGCCATATATTTTCCCACCATGAAGCATAGCTAACTGTGATCACACCGAAAAACAATCATAATCACCCTTTACACACCGCGAAGAAAGTAATAAATTAAGTTTCTGTATCTGCGCAAGTTGCACACCTGCTTTGGAGATCGTAAAGTTTACATGCGAGAAAGGGCATTGAGGGGATTGTAAACAGAAAGACTAAATACCCTGGATCACAGCTGTCGTGGTTGCTGTGGTTGTTGTTGTTGTCGTTGTGGTGGTTGTTTTCGTTGTTGTGGTTGTTGTTGTGGTGGTTGTTGTGGTTATTGTTGCGGGTGCGTACGCGTGAGTGCGTGCACGTGTTCACGAACCCGTCCGTGCGTACCTTTTCAGCGTCACCTCGCTAATCTCGTCAAATAGCTACATACTACTACATACCGTCGGTCACGTGAACTCCCTCGTCATCCTCGCAAGCGGCGGCGGCGATGGCTTCTGGCCAAGCCGTCGAACGAAGACGGCACTCACCGGATCGTCGCCGCGCGGCGCTTTCGGACGCGTTTCTGTGGCCGTCTGGAACGTTCCTTCCTTTAGAAATTATTGTTGTTGTGTTTAGTTTGCTGTCCTTCCCTCCCCCCTACACCTCCTATTAGCGCGGTTGGCTACGTACGGTGGTAGGAAAGAAGTTCGGCATATTACGTACGAAAAATCAGAATAGGCTTTACCCTTTCTACCAATAAAACAGGAGGTATCTGTTTGGTGTTTGAACCAAGGAGTAAAGCACCGCATTAACCAAACACGTTACTTGTGGTGAACATGCAAACAAACATGGCTCTGATAAAAAATGGACGTTGTCTTTGAAATGGATTGGCCTACACCAGAGACAGCAGCCTTCTTTCGGGCCTGGTCTCACTACCAGTGTCAGACCAGAGAACGCCAAAAGGCGAACAGCACAAGGATAATGCACGTGTATTGTTGCATGTATAGTTCGCGGTGAGCAGCTAAATCATGAGATACCTTTTGTGCCAGCATCAAAGCATGAAAAATTATAAAAGGTGTTTACCCTCTCTGGCAATAAAACGGGAGTTGTGCTAAGATATTCAAACACCTTCTAAATAAATACCGAATGTCATTCATTTGACGGTCCTGCTGCCCGACAACGCGGCGGGAGGCAGTAGTCGGTTCCCGAAGAACGTCGCGTTATTGAAACATGCCGAGGTAATAAATAATATATAATGCAGGAGGTAAAGCACGGTCCGCGATAACGTGCATGAAATGCGTACACAGGGCCCAACAGAGCATCCCAATGCCTTGTTGTGTAGGTAACATCTAGAAGCATCTAAAACCTGGGTACCGGGGGGAACGTGGGTTCTGGAGGGGGAACCTGGGTTCTGGAGAGGGAACGTGAGTTCTGGAGGGGAACGTGGGTTCTGGTGGGAGAACGTGGGTTCTGGAGGGGAACGTGGGTTCTGGAGGGAGAACGTGGGTTCTGGAGGGAGAACGTGGGTTCTGGAGGGAGAACGTGGGTTCTGGTGGGAGAACGTGGGATCTCGTGGGGAACGTGGGTTCTGGAGGGAGAACGTGGGTTCTGGTGGAAGAACGTGGGTTCTGGTGGGAGAACGTGGGTTCTGGTGGGGAACGTGGGTTCTGGTGGGAGAACGTGGGTTCTGGTGGGAGAACGTGGGTTCTGGTGGGAGAACGTGGGTTCTGGAGGGGAACGTGGGTTCTGGTGGGAGAACGTGGGTTCTGGAGGGGAACGTGGGTTCTGGAGGGGAACGTGGGTTATGTGGGGGGATGCGGGTTCTGGAGGGAACCGCCGCCACCACCGTGGCACCATCACTGACCCCCGCACGCGTTCACGTGCAGGCGGAGCACCCCGCGGCTGTGCAGCCTCAGCAGCTCCGCGAACTCGCTGGGCATGGAGTGCACCTTCTTGGGCTGCTGGTCGTCGTAGTAGTGGTGGTGCAACTGGCGGCCCTGCGGTGGGTCGACAGGGGCGGCCGTGGGGGCCGCGGCGGCCTGCGCCCCCTTCTTCCTCTTCCTGCTCCTCTTCGGCTTCCTCCTTCTCTCATCCTCCTTCACCTGCACCGGGGTGGGCAGGTCGTGCACGAACGGCCAGAAGCCATAGACATGCACCTCGTCGCACAGGTCCATGGCCACGCTCGTCTGGGGGGAGGGGGGTAGGGGCGAGTGGGAGATGTTTTGGGAAACACGGGGAGAATGTGGTAGAAGTGTGCGCAGTCTATTTAAACTATTACACCATTTTTAGCTGGTTATAGTACGAATGTTTAATGTGCATTCCATCTGAGGATCCCAATGCGTAAGAAACCACTGAGCTGCTATCTTGCTCTTCTTTCATGCAACGACCTCCTGCATACCAGGCGAGGTAGTTAACGTCTCCTCGCCACCATGATGATGATGAGAGAGAGAGAGACGCAAACTCCAAATATACAGCAGGCGTCAGGGTCGGGATCGAACCCACGACCTCCTGTATACCAGGCGAGGTAGTTAACATCTCCTTGCCACAGTTATGATGATGAGAGAGAGAGACACGCAAACTGCAAATATACAGCAGGCGTCAGGGTTGGGATCAAACCCACGTCCTCCTGTACACCAGGCGAGGTAGTTGACATCTCCTAGCTACCATGGTGGTGGACTCATAAAGAAATGCTTAGACTTACTTAGGAGGGAAGATGCAAGGGAAAGTTGGGAGACACGGGAAGACACAAGGATACACGGAAAGACACAGGGAGACATGGGGAGACACGGGGAGACACAGGCCGAAGCTGCACCTTGACTCAAACCCAGTTCGTCTCATCTCTTGATTGGTGCTTCAGTATTAACCGCTATCTGATTGTGCTACCAGCACACCTGCCCGTCTTGGTCCCTGGTCGATATTTTGATACGCGTCTTGATTTTATACGTGGCACATTAGGAATGGACCACTCTTTTAATTATTTCCTCGTACAGCAATGGAGTAAAGTGTGGTTTTGTGAAGGTCCCTTATGTGCTGTGAAGTACATCAATGCTCGTGTGGACACCAGCATGCGATACTGAGTTGGGCCTGTAGGTGGCTGGCAGGGTTATTGAGTAACCCGACCTGTACACCAGTCACGTGGTTAATGGCGACTGGGTTGAGAATTTCTGTATGACACACGTGCTGTTGAATTTTACAGATTATCACAATTAATGTGTGAGCCCTCGATTTGGAGCACCTGCCCACGTCCTTCATTTCGAGTGTGCAACACATAGGTTGGAGGACTACCTTCTTTTAATTTATACTTTGACGTATTGGGATGCCCTCTCCAGTGGGGGCGAGTTTTTACGCATACAGTAAATTGAATTAATGAAACAAAAAGGGAGACGCGGGGAGACGCAGGAAGACACGGGAGGCAGGGGTGTAGACACGGGGAGACACTGGGAGACTGGGAGACACGGGAGACAGGGAGGCAGAGGTGTAGACACTGGGAGACAATGAGAGAAATGGGAGACACTGCCAGACACGGGGAGACACGAGTAGGCAGAGGTGTAGACACTGGGAGATACGGGGAGACACTGGGAGGTAGGGTATAGACGCTGGGAGACACGGGGAGGCACTGAGAGACACGGGGAGACACGGGTGTAGACACTGGGAGACATGCCGAGACACTGGGAGACACTGGAGACACGGGGAGACACTGGAGACGGTTCCCGTGTCGCATTGTTACCATCATGAGGCCCGAGGTGATGTGCGACTCCTTGACGCCGCGTTTCTTCCAGAAGCGAGAGATGGCCCTCATGTAGGAGGGGTTGAAGAAGGCCACGCGCTGCTGGGACTCAAAGTCGTCCAGGGTAAATATGGCCTGGGGGGGGGGGGGGGCGTGGGGGGGCGTGGGGAGAGGGAGGGGGACAGGGGTGTAAGGAATCGCTGCCACGTGTGATCCAGAATGGACACGTGGTGCACAGGTGGACACTGGTGGACACGGTGGATGTGAGTGGGCCCGTAGTTACCCTGTACGCAAGCGACGTGTACGCAGATACAGAGAAGGCGGGGATGAGCAGGATGCTGGCGCCGTACGAAGACATCTTCCTGATGAACTCCTTCCTTCTCCCGATCAGGGACTCGAATCTACATACACACACACGGGGTTACACACACACACGGGGTTACACACACACACGGGTTTACACACAAAGATCCCCGCATAGCCGTAACATACTTTTGGGGCAAGTGCTGTTAGCACCTATCAAGGCCGGCACGGCACACAAGGGGATGGGTGGCTAACACCACGGCCGGGCCGCCTTTGTGTTTACTACACACCACACTCAGGTACTCATTTGAGGCCAAGTCGACCTAGGGGAGAAGTCCAGAAACAGTTCAGATAACCGTCACCCCGAGTTGGTGGCGGCGAGCGTGGCCGGGGTTCGACAGACATAGTAGTGCGGGTCGGGGGGCGGGGCGGGAGGCGGGGCGGGGGCCGTCGCCGATGGCTGTCGGCCCCCGATTCGTTCGCCCACCTACCTCCTATTGGACGACTCTGCTCACGGCAGAGGCCGTGGCTAACAAAGCACAAATCAAATCCCGACCTCGTATGTGAGGAGCTCACAAGGGACGTCGTCACATCTCGCCCTCTCTTGAAGGAACGGAAGAGGAGGGAGGATGTCTCCACAAATCCGGCCATCCCGCTTGATGAAGCCGGTTATAATTGCTTGCGAAACGTCTGACTCAGAGTTGTAAATGTCGTGGATTTGCTCTCCAACACACCGGTGCGGCTGTACTTGTGACGAATTGGCCGTGTTCTGTTCGCGTGACACTAAAACTGACTAATTGGCTGTGCCGGGTGGTGGCGGGTTTAAAGACACAACATTTATATTCACGCGATATAGCCCAAACAAAAACTATCATGAAAGACAAAGATACCCCCGTGTGTAGCCTTTGAACGGGATGTTGGAGGCACGTGCTGTTAGTGAGTCAGCAATTGTGAAGGCCGGTGGTGCGGGCACACCGGGCGGGTTGGTTGGGCCTTCAACCCACCCGGGGCCGCCTTTGTCTCCCCAATGGCAACGTTTAGTACACACACGGTACACCGGTGTGCTCACTTGAGGCTGAGTCGACCGAGGCAACACAAACGACAAAGATCCGTCCGTGTTGGGGTAAGTGCTGTTCGCGAAGAGGAGCAGCAATTATAAAAGCCGGTGGCGCGGCACACTGGCTGGGTGGGTTGGGCCAGCGTCACAGCCTGGGCCGCCTTTGTCTCCCCAGTTGGCGTCGTTTTCTGCACACTTGAGGCTGAGTCGACCATCGGCACGCGGCCATGCGCACTCGCTCGCTCACCGATTGATGAAGATGGTCGGGTTGGAGGTGACGATGTCCGTTTTGCTTCCCACGTCATCCTGGAAGTTGCCCCCCACGGGAGGGATGTTGCATCTGGTGGAGAGCGAAGGGGGTGAGCCACAACCCTGCCCGCACGTCGAGAGTCAACCCTGCCCGCACGTCTAGAGTCAACCCTGCCCGCACGTCGAGAGTTCAACTCTGCCCACTCCCTCTCTCTCTCTCACTCTCCCTCGCTCTCTACCTCCCTCCCTCCCCACTCTCCCTTTCCTCTCACCGGATCACGAAGTCGGCTGCGTCGATCTGGGAGCCGCAGGAGCTGTTGGCGAGGATCCCTCCGTTCCCCACGACGGCGCAGCGAGGGTAGCGCCCACTCCGCTCGGGGAACTCCTGTGGCCACATCACCATCATCATCAGCTATCATCATCATCAGCAGCCATTATTATCAGCCATCATCATCAGCCGCCATCATTATAATCAACCACATCATCAGCCATCACCATCATCATCAGCCATCATCAGCGGAAGCAGTCATCATCATTAGCCATCATCATTAGCCACCATCATCAGTGATCACTCGTCGTCATCATCATCATCGTGATCAGCCATGCTGTAGGTTGGTAGCTGACGTAGCCATGGGTGGAGGTGGCACTGGGAGAGGGGTTTCGGTTGGAGACCCATTGGCCAGCTCGCTTCCCCGACGACCGTTGAACGCACATTCGTGACAGACAGGCAGCTTCTGCAAAGAAGCTACTACCTAAAAGCTCAGTTGGGCCTTCCTGTACCCGGTAACAACAAAATAATTTAGACTTAATAAAAAAAAACAGTCTACCATTGGAACCTCATTTGCCAGTAAAAATGTGATAATTGTTTTTTTACCCTTCTATCTGGCAACAAAAACTGACACCTTTTTACAAGGAGTCATGTTTGCATAGACCACAATACCTGCAGTCATAATGCAAACAAAAACACAACTCTGATAAAGTGCACTGTCCTTGAAGTTGATTGGTCCACACCCGAGACAGCTTTCCTTAGAGCCTAGTCTCACATGGCGTCATCTGGTCTAACACATGTGAGACTAGGCTCTAAGGAAAGCTGTCTCGGGTGTGGACCAATCAATTTCAAGGACAGTGCACATTATCAGAGTTGTGTTTTTTGTTTGCATTATGACTGCAGGTATTGTGGTCTATGCAAACATGACTCCTTGTATAAAGGTGTCAGTTGTGTTGCCAGATAGAAGGGTAAAGAAACAATTATCATAAAAACAGTCTAGTTTTAGTTTATTCATTTAGTTTAAGATGATTTGTTTACCTTTGCTGTACTTGGCACTCCGGTCTGTTTTTTGTATTGTTGGGTGTTGTAACTTTCTGACCTATCGCTACTGGACATCAGTGGCGAGATGTTACCTACCTCGCCTGGTGTACGGGAGGTCGTGGGATTGATCCCAACCCTGATTCCTGCTGTACATTTTGAGTTTGCGTGTCTCTCCCCGTGGTCGCGTGGATTTTTCTCCGGATCCTCCGGTTTTCCCTCCACAATTTTAGAAACGTGCGTTTACTGTATGTGGCTGATATAAATTTCCACATGCTGATGATGATGATAAGCCCACTTCGTTGAGTTATCAACTGTGATAGCCAGGTCGCTCCTGAAAAGGAGCATTGTTGCAGCTCAGTGGGGCCTTACTCCTGGCCACAATAAACAAAACAAAATTTTAGTTTGTGAAAAAGGGCTTCAAAGCTCATTGAATTTCTCCAAGATAAAACATTCTGATGTGGCTCAACCGAAAAACAAAACATGGATCTTTATATTCGACGACTGTCCTGCCTGCCCCGTAGTCTCACGAGGAGCGGTGGTGCAGCGGTTAGCGTGCTACGAACCCGGCGACCCGAGTTCGATTCCCGCTGACGGCCACCAACCCCGGGTGTTGATTCGTTGATCCGGCCCTGCCCCCACCCCACCATCCCCCAGGGTCGCACCTTGAGGAAGAGATTCGTGACTTTGGCGTCCACCACGAGCGTCTTCCTGCTCTGGTCGAAGACGATGCTCGTGTTGATGGGCGAGTTGCTTCGCGTGATCACCACCTGGCTCGCTCCTCCCGTTGTGTTCGCGTGAGTCAACCTGAGGCCACAGCGATGGAGATGCAGAGAGAGACACATCAGAGAGAGGTGGAGACGTAGAGAGAGAGAGAGAGGGATAGAGAGAGCCATTAGAGCGATACATCAGAGAGAGACATGGAGAGAGAGAGAGACAGACAGAAACAGAGAGACATTGTAGACAGAGACATCAGAGAGAGGTGGAGACGTAGAGAAACAGAGAGGCATGAGAGAGACAACGGAGAGAGGCAGCGGAGAGAGAGAGACATTAGAGAGATACATCAGAGAGAGACATCAGAGAGAGGTGGAGACAGACAGAGACAAAGAGAGAGGCGGAGAGAGACATTAGAGAGAGAGCAACATAGAACGACAGAGAGACAGAGAGACATTGAGAGGGAAAGACAGAGACGGAGAGAGACAGAGAAAGAAACGGAGAGACTTTTGACTTTTTAAACAACTTTTATTACCGACAGCAGCAAATGCACTGGAGGCGATTTCAGTATGAAATACACAAAGTCACCAGCAAACAAATGAAAATAAACGCTACAAATCGACGCGCTGTGGCGCTAAAAGCACCGTGGTTGTGGTGTCATCGCGCACGCCATGGTGACGAGCGAGCGCTTCAGAAGGTAGAGCGAGATGCAGACGGAGAGACTTAGAGAAAGACAGCAAGAGACAAAAAGAACGAAGCACAGAGAGATATAGAGATGAATTGACAGAGAAACTCAGAGGCAGAGAAACGGAGAAAAAGAGATGGAAACAGAGAGAAACATACAGACAGAGCAATGCAGAGAGAGAGATAGAGAGAGACATTGATAAAGACAGAGACACAGAGAGAGATGGAGACAGCCGGAGAGATGGAGAGACAAGGAGAGAGAGGCCGTTTGACTGCGAGAAGGGCTGCGTGCAGAACGAGAGAGAGCGAGAAGGGAAGTAATAAATAATAAAAATAAAACATAATAAAATAATTCTCACGACGTTTCGGCCACAACGCAAGCAGCCGTCCTCAGGTGAAGAACAGGGCTGTCGAGGCGACAGCGTCTGAGTTTTAGAGACATTTCTATTGTGTTCAATCTATGCAAGTCTGTGGGTCTTAAATTTCGATTTAAAGCTTTCGTGACTGCAGGGATTCATCTTCTTGGTTCTTTCGGTAAAGTCACGTAGAAGGGAAAGAAAGAACCAAGAAGATAAAGCAAAGTTATTAAAAAAAACATTTTAAAAAAACAATTAAAATAAATTACGAAATGATGAACGAAGCAAAGTGCCGACTACACCGAGCATCTTCTTGTTTCCATTGATCGTAAAAAAAAAGGAGAAACATCTTCTTGGTTCTTTCGGTAAAGTCACGTAGAAGGGAAGTAATAAAATAATAAAAATAAAACATAATAAAATAATTCTCACTAAAACATAATAAAATAATTCTCACTAGTGAGAATTATTTTATTATGTTTGATTTTTATTATTGTATTACTTCCCTTCTACGTGACTTTACCGAAAGAACCAAGAAGATGAATTCCTGCAGTCACGAAAGCTTTAAGTCGAAAGAGAGAGACACAGTCACTTCAGCCAGTCCTGGAGATAGATGCTAGTGGTGGTATCGTTGTGAGCTGCGCCACGTGGTGCGTGCTTTGTTTGTGGGTCCTCGTGGAGGCTCCGCGACCTGCAGCTCGCGGCCACGAGAGGGCGACTCCACGCCAGGGAGTGGTCACGGGCGAGTGCCGTGACACCGCTCCACGGGAGGTCAAGAGGATTTTTGTTTAAACTTTTTTGAAACAAAATTTTTGTTTTAAAATTTTTTAACTGTATTTTTTATTAAATGTTTTAACAGTTTGTTCGAAATTTTGTTTTACAATTTTTTAAAAGAGTTTTTTGTTAACAATTTTTTTACACATTTTTTGACGTTTGTTTTACTATTTCTTTCACCATAAAAACACTTTTTTTACTGTTTCTTTTTACTATTTTTACACAAAACCAAATAGTAAAATACGACGTTTCGGTTGCAACACAAGCAACCATCATCAGGTAAGAATTAGTGATAAAACACAGACACGGAAACAACACAGGCAGACAACATGCAGAGAGAGACACACAGACACACCGAGTGTCTGCCTATGTTGTTTCCGTGTCTGTGTTTCCTTGGTGTGTGTCTCGCTTGGTGTGTCTTTGTGTGTGTCTCTCTCTGTATGCGTGTCTTCCTGTGTTGTTTCCCCTTCTGTGTTTTATCTTTCATTCTTACCTGATGATGGTTGCTTGTGTTGCAACCGAACCTCGTATTCTATTATTATTTGATTTTATTTTCTACGTGACTTTACCGAAAGACCCCAAGAGAAATTCCTGCAGTCACGAAAGCTTCGAACCTAGTTTATTTTTAAACACTTACTTCACCTGGAATGGTACTTTCTACAAACGAAATGAAGGTATCCCCATGGGTTCCCCCTTATCACCAGTGATAGCGAATGTTTTCATGGAGAAATTTGAAACAGATGCCATCCAGACATCCACCCTACGTCCTTCCTTGTGGAAGAAATACGTAGATGACACCTTTGTCATTTGGCCACATGGCCTGTCAGCATTGAACCAATTTCTCAACTACATCAATTCCATACATCCATCCATCAAATTCACCATGGAAATGGAGAAGGATGGTAAGCTATCATTCCTGGATGTTCTGATTAAGAAGAGGCCTAACGGCTCTTTGGGACATTCTGTATAAAGGAAGGCCACCCACACAGATTCCTATCTAAAACCTGATTGCCACCACCATCCGGCACAGAAGAATTCCCTCATCAAAACACTACACCATAGGGCCCACTTCATCTCCGACCAACACCACCTAGCCAGAGCACTGGAACACGTATACCAAGCCCTCAAGATGAATGGGTACTCGGACCACATTATTTGCCAAGCTGTTTCTCTAATCATGGAGAAACAACCCCCTGAGACGCTGATCAAAACCATCACTTTACCATACATAGCAGGTGTTACCAAAAAGATTTCCAAAATCTTACACAAACACAAGATCCAGGTCTGATTCAATACAGTACACAAAATCCGTGATCTTATCCCATCTGTGAAGGAGGTCATTCCTGCCATGCAATACCCGGGAGTCTACAAACTGAGTTGTACCTGCGGTAGCAGTTACATTGGGGAAACGAAGCCATATGTCTCGGACCGTGTTCACGAACACAAGGCAGATCTGAAACATGGCAGAACCAATACCTCTGCCGTAGCTGACCATTGTTATAACGCTGTGGGCTCACGTGATATTGTTTTTTCCGAGACCAAGGTACTCTGCAAACCTTCGGGCTACTATCATAAGGTTTGTTCATGAAGCAATCTAGATCTATAAACATAAACAAAACTTCAACCGAGAGAATGGATACAAATTGAACAATCATTGTTGTTGTTGTTTCCATCATTACCTGCCGGTTTACTGCTAGCCCCGCCTACGTCCCCCCCCCCCCCCCCCAGCCTCATGTCTTCTCCCCCTAGCGCTCACGTGGCCCCCCTTCCCTTACCTCACACCCCCCTCTCTCCCTTTCCCCCTTTGCCTCCTCCCCCCTGTCTTACCTATATAACCTCTTGCCACGGCAGCTCTCCCGCCGACTTCAGCATTTACTTGCTGTGGTTGTCCCAACTGATTAGGATTGCTTGTGTTGCGATTGAAACGTCGTGATTTGTTTTATTTGATTTTTATTTCTACCTACGTAACTTTACCGAAAGAACCAAAGAGTATCATTTTTTACGTAAACATTTTTTTAACAGTGTTTCTTTACAATAATTTTTTTTCATTTTATAAACATAAAAAATGTAAAGTTTTTTTACTTATTTTTTCCAAAAATGTCAACTTATTCTTTAATTTTTTTTCACAATTTGTCTAACAAGTTTTTTCGTACAATTTTTAAACAATTTTTTTTACAACGTTTTTAAAGTTAGTGTTACAATTTTGTTACATAACAAAAACAATTCTGTTTTGTAACTTTTTTTAAAGAAAAATTTAAAGCTGTATTTTTTTAAATTTTTATAATGTAAAAAAAAAAAAATCTGAAACTCTTTTTTAAATCCTTTATATTAAGTTCGCTCGCTTGCGTGCTTGCTTGCTTGCTTACGACCGTGCAAATCTTTCGGTCGTTTTTTAACCCACTTCCCGTGATCCAATCGAGCTGACATTTTGCACACAGACTCGTTGTGCGTGACAATTAATTTTCGTGAAAAAAATGTGCAAAATTTTACACTTTTTAGGAATTTTTTTTTATATTTAATTACCAATTGCTTAATGCTGCCAGGCAATCATCTGACTCATAAGTGGCAGCCATCTCAAGCCAGAGGACAAGAGGACTCTAGCCGCCACGCATATAAAGGATTTATAGTGAAAAACTTTGTTTTTACGGGTTAATTTTTTTATTATTTGAAAGGAATTTTTTAAAACTGTTTTTTTAAACAATTTTATTATGATACATCTTATTTTTTCTATTTTAAAACAGTTTTTTGAAACAATTTGAACAACTTTTTAAAACAGTTTTTTTTTACTATTTTGAAACTATTATTTTTGTACTATTTTAAAACTATTTTTTTTACTATTTGAAACTATTTTTTGGAGCGATTTTTTGTTATCTTACCGGGTATAAGGTCCCACTGAACTGCTACGTAGCTTTTTTTCAGAAGCGACCTGGACATCACAAATGACAGCTCCAAAGAAGTGGGCTTAACATCATCATCATCATCACGTGTGGAGATTTCTAGCAGCAGGCAAATTCTCCACACCGGTGGTTCTTAACCCGTGTGTGCACGCACTCCCTGGGGATGTAAGCTGCCCTTTCTAAAGGTTGCAGGGGTGCAAGGTGCAGGCTGCTCTAAACGCACGTTTGTAAATGTGGAGGGATAAAACCAGAGGACATTGGAGCAAAATCCACGTGACCGCGGGGATAGAAAGAAAGAGACACGCAAACTCCAAATATACAGCAGCAGGCGTCGGGGTTACGAAAGAACCCACGACTTTCTGTAAGCCAGGCGAGGTAGTTAACA